CCACGTACTCGCATACACACGTACGCTCGCAGCCTGCGCGAGAGGAAGAGACGGAGAGATAAAGAAGGGCGTAAAGAGGGAGCTTGTGGATGTGGGAAGTAAAGGAGGACCGAGGGGGTGTACGAGAAGTGGGAGGGTGAGTGGGTGGTGTAGAACGGGGTGGGTGGGGGTGAAACTGGCTGCAGTGCCTGGATGCGAGCTAAAATGTATTTTTTTGTCTTTTTTTTTCTTCTTTCTCTATATCTTCCCTTCGAGCGAGCCGTGGTAGGTTGGATTACCAATCCAGAGCTGCCTCCGGCACGTTCTTCTCTCTGTCGGGCACGTAGGGCGTTGGACGTAAGGGCTCGGCGAGCTGGTTCGCTGCCGGACATAGCACTTTAGTACGTATCGTTGATACCGATATGGAAATTATCCAACTGAATTTTAACCGCGTTGCGCACACCCACACACAGAAAACTGTCGGATTCAATTTGGATTGATCACGTGTATCCACTGCTCTTGATATCTCCAATATCTGCAGGAACAATCATATTCTCGCACGACACAAGACATTTTCTAAATTACTTCTAAAGGAAAATCAGATTTTTATATTGTATATTCTCGTGTGTTGGAATGTTTTCTTGCCGAAAGATATATCTTGACGTTTATTTTATGAATGTAAAATTTATTTTAGCACGTGTAAAAATATCTTTAATACTTGTTATTACTTATTACGATTATAACCTATCTTATTTCTAATTGATTATAATCTACTTTTTTCTTCTCGTTTTTATCTTTCTTTTACGTAAGAATTACTTTAAAATAATATAGTCTATTTACATATGAAAGAATTACAAATAAAGATTATGTTTCCTTTATACATACATGTGTTATATAAACTATATTGACATATTGTTAGTAATTATGAAGTCCAGCGAATTAATTAATTTCTAGAATTTAAATAAATTGTTAAACAAATTATCAGGTATATTTATTAAATATTAACATTTTTTCTACTTTATGCATTAGATATATAAATGCGTTATCCTGATATCATCTGGAGATTCTGATTTTAGAATAACCGTTTCTAGGTCTTTCCCTATTCCCCTAGAAAAGTCGATTGCTTTCGAACGTATGCGCCTTCCACCCATCCCGGCTTCTCTGATTTCCCGTCTTTTAAATAGACACGAACATTCGCTGTAGATCGAAAATCTCCACATGTTTGTAAGCACCTTTCTTGTCGTCCGTTATGATCTTTGTGGAGATCGCGTGGATCTTGCTCGACTTATCATCGACGGTCTACCATTCTTGATCCACGAACGCGTATCTTTACCTTATCCCGGCAAGCTTACGCGGGTTCCGACAGAATCAGATCGTTTGACGAGCCACCTGTAGCGCGAAGGGCTACCATCGACCCTTCTTAAGGACGGGCATACACGATTTTTGTCCCCTTTTCAGACCACGATTCGGTCCATATCGTCGTCTGTATCCAATACGACTTCTTGACCTCTGGCTATATTTATGAGACCGCCGTAAAAACGTTTCGGCATAAATATTTCTTCTGATATCGTACACCACGAATACAGGATTTTTCATCGATATGAAATTTTTTCAAATTCTTCATAATGCAAGTATTAATAATATTATCAGACATATTTAATTTATGTAACAATAGAAAATAGGTGTAGATATACAAATTACATCATGAGTCATATGAGAAGTAATAATCTGTTATTGATTTTTATATTTGCTCCCATTCAGCGAATACGATAGAATATGATATATACTTACATGGCAATATTTTCGATGCTTTAAATTTTATTATTTTCTCACTTCATTTATTGATCTTCCGAGTATGGACAACATGTTTTCGCAATGTACGGGAAAGCTGCTTTTATATCACATAACAGTGGATACTTTTGTATAATTGAAAATTGATATTTTGTACGGGAAGATATTATTTCTATTATAACTCTGAGAAAGATACACAATGTGTCTTATATATTTTAGAACTCGGAAGGAAAGTAGTTCGAACTTTCGAGGTTCACGAGGCTCAGTCTGTTCCGAATTCTCGGGGAGGTGTACGCGACCTGGCGCGAGTTCCGTCGAAATGCGGAAGGTCATGCCTTCCGAGAGATGGATGTGGTTTGAAGGGTCGTGGGAAGGGAAACGGGGTCATCTTTCGATGGCTCTTGTGGCCGCCCTATGCGTGCCACCATTGGACCATTGCAAGGTGGCGCGGACGATTAATCTTGCGGAAGCACGTTTCTGGTAATTAGCGAAACGTCGAATAATTTATGGCGAAAGAAATAAGGGCGCAAATATATATCATCCCCAGAATTTGTTGAGAAATTGTTCCTCGCTATTTGATATTGTGTTGGGTGCACACCGCGCTTAATGAAAGAATCAAAATTGGAATGTCAAGAAGAAGGCAAATATATATTCTCAAATATATTTGTATTTAATTAAGTTTAATTAGAAGATGAAAATTTTCATTTACATTTTCTCTCTTCCTTTATTCCTATTTTCATATGTACTCATTTCGTAGATTAATAAACGATTAAATTTAGCCAGTTGGAAGTTGACGGAAGCATTTGCTAAAATTAATTAGCAACACTTTCTTCTGTGTTGCAGCAATGCGCCCCGCACGACAAGGAAAGCGACTACTGGGGTGGCGGCCGGGGCGCGAAACAAGGTTACGAGGTGAGACAACCCACTTCGAAATATTTTAGTGGTCTATTTCATATACACGGCCGTCGTGCTAATTCTACTTGGTGAAGCGCAGCACTTTCTGTTGCAGGCGAAAATGAACGCGGACCATGGTCAGCTGCAGAAAGGTGAGTCTCTAATGCTTGTGTTATGTCTCTTACCTTCCCGTATACTTCCACACAGTCCGCGGATGGACGTTTCCGCTTTACTATTTAAATCATTAGCCTGCCAAAGCTATTTTACAAGTATAATTATTAACACAGAAATACGACGATGTGACATTAATACATATAAAAAATAATGTTTCATATATAAATGAAAAATTAAAGTCATATTATTTTTTATAACATCAATAATTTTTTATATAATTTCGGGGGTTTAATTTCAATGGATTTGCAATTAGATTTACTATTAAAATATTTAATGTTGAAAATGACAAAACTATGGAAAGGACAGCGTTTAATAAAAAAATCCATTGAAGAGAGAAAGCAACTTATAAATTTGTCAAAGAATGTGCAATCAGATATAAATGATTAACATCCGAGACAGTTCGTGTATCATCATCGTGAGTCGAGATGGAGATCGAGGAGTTGTTTACCTGAAAAATTGGGATCATCGTGGATCGTGGGCAGTTAAATCACGCCGGTGCCGAGACTTCGCTGTCTCGCTTCGTCTTGGTATCTGTTAGCGTCGCGACCTCGCATCAGATGCAAACACTTCCTAAGATCTAACCATCGGCCGGGAACCGGTTGTGACTGCATGCGTGACGTAAGATCGCCGATTAGGAGCGAAAGAAAAAGTCGGAGAAAAAGAGTAGGGGTACTGCACCGAGCAAAAAATACGCGCGAACTTGAATTTATCAGCGGACCGTGGTGGATATGTAAGCTACACTTCTGAACATCTTTTTTCGCATTTAGAACTTTATTTTTCACTAATTGACGTGATTAGTCTAAGTTTCTCGATAATTTTCTTTTTTTCTTGCGATTTGTTTTTATTTAGATACAAGACGCGTGACTGTATAAACAAACAAAAAGCAAAGAGCTTTTTTTTCTAATGTATAGAGGTGTTATATATACATTTATGTGACATGTGCTCTGTTTTTCATTTAAAAGTTGTATAAAAAATTAAAAACTTATATTGATGTGTCCTGATAAAAATCTCTCATGTATATACCTTATTTTAATTTTTTTTTAACTGAAACCAGTCGAAAGACGAATTAAGAGGACGAAACGGACTGCTTCAAATTATAAGGATAAGTTTTTGGATTTAATTGGATAAGTTAATCGTAAAATTATTTTATTCTATTGTATCCCTGTTTTATTTTATTTTATTCGATTTTATTCTATTTTAATTTAATCTTTTTTTTCTATTTTATTTATTTTCTATTCTATTTTAATTTAACAAATTTTAAGATAAAATAAAAGTTAAAATGAACCGTATATATGACACTGTTAGTATAATATAAGAAAATGTAACATCAAACTCATAAGTTGAGTTTCTTTTATCAATTTTGATAATAATCCGATCCGGGTAAATCAAATCTGTCATTTCTTTCTTGCCTCTTCCTCCTCCTCCTTGTCGAGAAGGATTAAGCAATCGTGGTTTCGTTTATAAAAGGAGACTCATGTTTCAATACATGTTTTTCACTGCCAATGGCACGCGCGCTTGGCCTAGACTGGCCATTTACGAGATAAGCCCACTACCCTTCCATTCTCGTCAGGATCGACGGGCTCTCGTCAGTGATTCATGCCATAGAGAAACACAAACCTGGGGGAAAGGAAAAAAAGTTGCACGACCACCTGCAACATTTCCCTCGATATTGCTCTGTAATTTGACGCGTATGCCTCCGCGACAAATATTATTGCAACGATATCCGTCGTCATCCACTATTACGTCACTGTCCAGTTAACGTAAAAACGTGGTTTTTATTGAGCGATTAAAACAAAATTTATTACTGCGATATTTCTTCTTTTTTCATTAGTCCTTGTTACTTTATTTATTAGTCCTACATGACTTTATCACTTATTACTTAACAATTTCTAAAATAGAAATTCTTTCTAGAACTTTTCTAGAATAGAAGATATATTCACTTTTTATTTCTATACGTATATTGCTATTTTCTGATGTTTTAAAACGATCGTGTACTTCCATCTGATGTCTTATTACGTCTGTTCCATCTCCAATTCTGTTTTCCCTATTCTTATCTTCTATTAATTCGCCGTTTGGCCGCAAGCTCGGATTCAACGCTGCCGGCGTGCACGATCATTATTACATCGCGTGTTTCAAAATCCAAATTTCTCTTTCATCGGCGGAACATTTTTCGCGCTCCGTGCCCATCGGGCTCGACGTTAGATGGGCCCTAAAATTAGCCGTCGGCCTGGCAATTGCGCAAAGATCCTCGACTATTCGTTAATGTACGGATCGCATGACGCCGAAATTTCGGGTCCCGCGTAACAGTTGAGAAGGCGAAGGATGTGTGTGGGACGACGGAGCCTCAAGGCCCCCTCTTGCGCCCGTCTCATTATCGTATTCGCTCGTCAAGTAAATGCGAGTCGCTCGTTTGGAAATTCCTCGCCGGCAGCCTCCAGGAGATATGTCGCGATACACCAGCATCGCAGCAACATAGGAACGTGTCGCAACGTGCACGTATGATTTATTTGACCGGCGGAATATGTATTTTTTGACGAAACGAATTCGAGAGATCGTAAAAGTGACTGGTGCGTCTCTCACGTGACGATTTTGTCGCGAAGATCAGATATTTCAAAATTTATTTTATTGACTCTTAGGTATAATATAAGCTTCGCGATTTCATTCGCCTCTAAGATTTGCCTCTGATTTCGGTATGATATTTTTATATAAAAGTCCGCGTTTTAAATTAATTTCCTGTGTTAATTAATTATCCTCTCAGTCTATTAAAAATTATTATAAGTTTTCATTATTATATTATAAGTTTAACATTTTTCATCTAAAAAATCCGGAAAGGTCGATAATAATTTATAGCTGATAATTTATTGGAATTGCGACTTCCGAAGCGACGTTCTTAGCTAGACAAACGTACATGTAAATTTTTTAAACGTAAAATATCGCGAATTGTCATTGAGGCGTCAAGAGAAGATAAGATTGCGCCAGACGCGTCTCTTTCTTTGCCTCTTAAAATCTTAACACCACCAGTGAATGACTTTAATGATCATTGAGTATCTTGCACGGGTAACTAAATCCAAGACGGCACTTCCTTCATTCTCGGTCCCGAACGTTTCACCCGACGAACGATGGAAGAAACACGTTAATGCAACACGCGACTTTCACTTACCTTATAATTTGTACCCTTTTGATCATTCTCTAATTATTAGGAGATATTTTTATCCGTTAAAATGAAGAATCTAGAAAATTAGGTTAATTTTAACCGGATTATAAAAAGCTACTTGAACTTCCATCCTCTGACAGGTTAATAGAGTTTTATTTTTGGATGTACATTGGCGAGGGTATACTTTTGTAATAATTTTACCGACAACTTCCTACGCCGCAATCCGTGTCCCATCTCGTGTTACTTCGTAATGTAACAAATGAAAATATCCTGCCAGTAAAGAGGATACGAGGGAAAAGGTTATTCTTTTTTAATAACAAATGCTCTACCTGCTTTCCTCTCTCAAGCTCTTATTTCTTCTCGTACGAGTGCACATACGAGAAAACGGATTGCATTTCGTATTCGAAGGGGTAGAATCGGCTCGTAAACAGGTCGATAAAAATCCGACTGTGTTCCACGTAAACAGACAAGCACAGAAATCAGTTCGCGCACTTTTTGTCAAATATATGCGTATATAATATAATTGTGTGATATCTTATCCTTCAAGCTTCCTCAAAATGCCGTTGCTCTGTACTCTATAATGAATACAATCATAGTGATGCGTTAATATCTTGCGATTTTATATCTTATTAACGTAGAAAAAGGACAGTCGTTTTTAACTATAATAAATCCAGAGGAGAGTTGAATGAAAGAATTAAAAATAATAAAGAGCCGAAACAATCACACTTTTAGTCAGAATTATAGCAATTGTTGTCCGAGGGAAAAGTAGTTTCGGAATATTCTACGCATATTACACGGTGGTATACACGGAAAAAAAAGATTAGCTGTCACAGCTAAAAATTAGGTATGGCAGCTAAATTCAGTAGCATTATATGGACACCTAATGTCGTATCTGCGAGGTCTAATTTCCATCAGCTGTGAGGCCTAAATATTTTCATTGCAACAGACAAGCATTCTGCTATTATGTCGACGTATTTATCATTGCAGCAAACGTTTTCTGTGTAACAGACAATTTGGTAGCAAGTACAGTTTCAGCAAACCATATTTAACTGTGGTAGAGACAATTTTCTTTTACACGGACATATCCGATAACTGTGACAACTAACTTCATATTAGTATACTAAATAAATCGATCTGTAACAGACATGCATATTTTGCTATCACGTCCTTATATTAGCTACAGCAGCAAATCCTTTGTATGTATTAGCAAATTCATAGCTACAGTAGCTAATACAATTTCAGCTAATCAGAATTAGCTGTAAACCAGAAACATTTTTTTCCGTGTAACTTCAGCATTCATGAATAAGCGGAGATTCAATTAGAGCCATTTATTCTCAGCGCGGAATCAAAGCACGTTGTGCAAATGCGGGACGAGAAACATGTAGGAAACGCGACTAGAACTCTGTTACATCGTACTTTCGACATAGGTTACAATGTGTCGAAGAGTTTGGGGTCAATTAAAAGTTGGAGTCTTCCACGTCCGCGCACGTGGAGCAGAAGGAAGGGAGTAACGCGCGAGGGTGAGAATGCAACGAGAATTCCTGGCGAGGAGTCATCTTGTCTGATTTCCATATTTTACATTTTTTCCGTCAAAAACAAAAATTCGATTATCGGTTTATGAGATCTTTCGGTAACTGCTAGTCAACTTTTACTTTGCAATATTTTGTTCAGTGCTTTGCATCAGAGATGTTAAATAATGTAATATTTTTATGCAATCTTGCAAGCAATTTGTTCAGTCTGTCAAAGAATTGATGGAATTTACAAAATTGGTGAAAGTCAGAATGCTATTTACAGTGAAATTTCTATTGAATAACAAGAGTGGTA